TTTTTTTAAGTAAGGGTTGTAAATGAGAAAAAAAAAAAACATCTGCAGCCTACCTGTTTAGAAGAGGTTTTATAATGTTCAGTGTAACGGGTTGTTTTATTTTTACTTTCTTTCTGCCTTTTGTCAGACACGGTACCTTTGAGTCGCTCTCCATGGTCCTAATCAAAAGCTGTCTTCTCCAATGTTTCCCCGTGTCCCATCCATGAGTTACTTTTTTTTAGTAAAATTTACTTCTTTAAAAACTATTCAGGTTTTTGATGCTATATTTGCTAATTTGTTGAAAATTTTCCTGTTAAATTTACTGAATTGGCAAACATTGAGCAGAGAGAGCACAACTGCTCTACGACCCTTCAGTCATGCATGTAGTTGCATGCAGAACTACATTTAAAAGTTCCAAAGCATTTGAACATGTAATAGTTGCCCTGTTAATGGACACATTGTAATTAGGAATTTATGTTGTTTTTTTTTTTATAAATAAATGACCTGAGTAGTAATCAGGTCAGCACCAAAATAGAACCTGTTTTTTTTTTCATTAGAAAACATCAATATTTCCCACAGTTGTCATAATAATCTCTTTATAATAAATGGGAAAATATTGTGTGCAGATGGAGAATTAGAAAAATAGACAAAAACAATGATCAAAGACATAACCTCCATTATGGATGAAATCATMTTGAATCATGCAGAAAGCATTGGCTTCATCCTTTGAAACATTCTGAAATAATAATGAGATGCTACGTTTTTTTGCCTTGTTTTTCTTGACAAGACATTTACTAAAATATATTTTTAATAATAATAATTGAAAATATACAATGATTTTTTGTTTGTTTGTTTTTGTTTGTTTTGTTTTTTTTAACCTAAAACTGTGCATTTGTATTTTATCTTTAAAGTAAAGCCTTCTACATATATAACTCTCCATGGTGCTGAAGTAGGCTGACAGTTTTGTTGTTTTTGCGGTCTGTTAAGTGAAATAGCCCTGGCTTTAAAATGGAAAAGTTCCGTTTTTTCCCGTGTGTGATTCATGTGCGCATTTCAAGAAGTACAAAAAAGGCGTAATTTCACATTCATGTATTTTGTTATGATTTTATTGTTTTTCCTTGGTGACAGAGAAGAAGAGCATAATGAGTTGTGTGTGTTTGCATTGTAAAAGCTATTTTTCATGTAATACATTTTACCCATTTTGGAGAGCTGTAAGCAATACTTTCTGGAGTTTTTGATTGTGAATGCAGTTATTCTAAATGTCCACACGGGGACATAATAGACCGTCACATGAAAATGTCCAGTGGGTTACTGAAGCCCCTCCCAGGCTCAGAGTGAGATGCGCTCTCAGTTCTTTGTTACAACAGAAAAGGAGAGGACGGAGCTTCTTTCGATCCATCCCTCACCAAAACATGTTATTGTGATCTTTTTAAATTATTTTTTAATCCACTTCCACTTGATGGCTATTATTATCCACATGGTTTGTTTTATAATTGAATAACATGATGCAGACGAGACGGATACGAGGACGATTTGGGATTTATTTGTTGTGTTTTATTTCAAACTGCTGCTGGAATCTGACGTGTGGACAGATCTCTTACTCTGTCTCAGAGGAGGTAAACCCGGGCACGTTTGTGGGAAATCTCGCTAAAGATCTCAGTCTCAACGTGCACGACTTAGAAGCGCGTGCGTTCCAGATTGTGAGCGGATCAAAGAGGAGATATTTCGACGCAAACCTGAAAACGGGGAGCCTTTACGTCAGTGAAAGGATCGACCGGGAGGAGCTTTGTGCCAACGCTGCAACGTGCTCTGTGCATGTGGAGGCCGTGATTAACAGCCCGCTGAAGCTCTACCGGTTAGAAATAAACATCCTTGATGTAAATGATAATGCGCCGTATTTCCCTGAGAAACTGCAGACTCTTAATATAGCAGAAAGCACAGCGCCTGGAGGGAGGTTTGGATTTATAGGCGCGTTGGATGTTGATGTGGGGAAGAATAGTGTTAGCACGTACAGGCTCAGTTCCAATGAGTATTTTTCTCTAGAGATTCACAAAGGAGGAGGCGCTGTGTCTGCTGAACTCGTGCTACAGAAGGGGTTAGACCGAGAAAAACACCCTGTCATAAGGCTCACGCTGACTGCTGTAGATGGTGGTAACCCTCCCCGGTCAGGGACATCACAGATTGTTGTCAGCGTTTTAGATAATAATGACAATGCTCCGGTATTCAGCARTTCTTTATACAAAACAAGCATATCTGAGAATTTACCGATAGGAAAGACGGTGATAGTTTTAATTGCGACGGACGCAGATGAAGGCGTTAATGCAGAAATAGAATATTCGTTAAGACGCAAAGGACAGGATCATGTTTTAGATTTGTTTCAAATCGATCCTAAATCAGGCGCACTTCTGATCAAAGGCAACATCGACTATGAGGAGAACCCTGCTTTTGAGATCCACGCACAGGCGAGTGACAGGGGCCAGCCTCCCATGTCTGCTCACTGCAAAGTGCTGGTGGAGGTGCTGGACCTGAACGACAACGCTCCTGAGGTCACTGTGACGTCACTGCTAAACACAGTGAAAGAGGACGCGACTGTAGGAACAGCTGTAGCGCTTGTGTCTGTGCTGGACAGAGATGGAGGAAAAAACGGGGCAGTGAAAGCTGTAATTGCAAACGAGAGTCCCTTTAAACTGGAAACAAACTATAAGAACTATTATTCGTTAGTTGTTAATGGGCCGCTTGATAGAGAAACTGTGGCTGAATACAATGTCACTGTTGTTGCAACTGATGAAGGAACTCCATCTCTGTCCAGCACTAAAATAATTCACCTGCTGCTTTCTGATGTTAATGACAATCCACCGCGATTCTCTGAACAGCTCATTAATGTGTTTGTGAGAGAGAACAGTCCCGTAGGTGAAACTATTAAAACTGTGACTGCAGTTGATGCTGATGTAGATAAAAATGGTCAGGTGACATATTCGTTTTTACAAAATAACAATTACAAAACATCTTCAGCCACACTAGTGAATATTAACTCAGAGACAGGAGACATAATCAGTCTGCAGGCTTTTAACTATGAGGAGTTAAAAAC